GAGCAGGGAGCCCGATGTGGGGCTCGATCCCAGGACCCTGGGATCATGACCTGAGCCGAAGGCAGACGCTTAACGACTGAGCCACCCAGGCGCCCCGGCTAGCTAGAACATTGTGAGGGTACAAGCAGAAGGTGGCTGAGGGGAAGCTGGAGGCCAGCTTGTGGGGATCGTCAGAGGCCATGGGTGAGGATTCGGGATCTTGCTCTTGGCAGGACAGGAGCTGTCACAGAGTTTAAGTGGAAGAATGACATGAACTGATTTGCATTTTAAGTCACTCTTAGAAAGAGTCGAATTCTGGATACTTTCGTAGAGGAGAACTAATTTGCTGATGGATAGTATGTGGGGATTGGAATGAAGTCAAGAATGATTCCAAAGTTTTTAGCCTGAGCGACTGGAAGAATGGAGTAGCCATTTAGGAGCTTTGGGGAGGATAATTAGGAGTTGAGCCAGAATTAGGAGTTTGGGTTTGGACCTGTTGAGTCTGAGATGCCACTTAAGTGTCCAAGTGAGGATGTTGTGGAGGCACCTGTGTATATACGTCTGGAGTCTGGAGGGAGATCCCGGCAGCCAGTTTGGTTCAGCAGCCACCAACTCTGAAAGTTGGGAGAGTAGGTTAGATCACCAAGGAAGAACAGAGAGCATAGAGAAGAGGTCCAAGGACTTATCCCAGGGAATCCCTATATTTAAAGTTCTGCAGAAAGATGAGGAACCAGTGAAAGAGACTAAGAATGAGCAGGCAGTGAGATGACAGGAAAACTACAAAAGAGAGGAATTCCAGAAGCCAACCGAAGACAGTGTTTCAAGAAGGGAGTGACCTAGTGTACCAAATGCTGCTGATGGGTCAAGACAGTTGAGAACTGACCAATGAAGTGACCATGGGAGCCCTGCTGACTTGGCAAGAACAAATTGGGTAGAGTGGTGGAGGCATAAGTCTGACTACAGTGGATTCAAGAGCAGATGATAGGAGAGGAACCAGAACTGGTGGGTATAGACCTGGCTCTCCAATATGGTGGCCACCAGCCACATGCGGCTATTGAACACTTGAAATATGTCTAGGACAAGCTGGGATGCGCTTTAAGTACAAAACAGACACTGATCTCAAAGACAGTATGAAAAAAGAATACAAAATACCAGTGTTTTTTATATTGATTATATATTAAAATAGATATATTAGGTTAAATAAAAGACATGAAAATTAATTTCATCTTTTTATTTTTTTCTAAATGTCTTTCCTTTTTTAAATTTTTATTATTATTTTTTTTAAGATTTTATTTATTTACTTGTCAGAGAGATAGAGAGAGCACAAGCAGGGGGAACGGCAGGCAGAGGCGGAAGTAGGCTCCCCACTGAGCAAGGAGCCAGACATGGGACTCTATGCCAGGACCCTGGGGTCATGACCTGAGCCAAAGGCAGATGCTTACCCAACTGAGCCACCTAGGCGTCCCAAATGTCTTTCTTTTTATTAAACAAACAAACAAACAAAACCCCAATAAACTTCTATTTTTATTTTTTAATGTTGTTTATCTCTACACCCAGCATGGGGCTTGAACTCACAACCCTAAGAGTCACATGCTCCTCTGACTGAGTGAGCCAGGTGCCCCTCTTTTTTTTTTACTTTTTTATGGTGGTTACTAGAAAGTTTTTTTTTTTTTTAAGATTTTATTTATCTTGAGAGAGAGCAGGGGGAAGGGCAGAGGCAGAGGGAGAGAGAATCCTTAAGCAGGCTCCGCACTCAGCGTGGAGCCCCACGTAGGGCTCCACCTCACTTCCCTGAGATCATGACCTGAGCTGAAATCAAGAGTCAGATGCTTAACCGACTGAGCCACCCAGGCGCCCCTGGTTCCTAGAAAATTTAAAATCATCTGTGTGGCTTGCATTATATCCCTATGAGACAATGCCGGGAGAGAGAATTCTTTTGAAGTTTCGCCGTGACGGGAAGCAGAGAACGGGAAGCCACTGACCACAGGGCGCCTATGTCAGTGATTACTCAGCTTTTTCTATTCACGGACCATTTCACCTGGGCCAGATACCTCCGCACATCACCTACCCTACACACGCCTCTTAGAATCCAAGAACGTTCGTGAGGGGGTGGGGGGGGAGATCAAATTGTTCTATATTTTGCTTCGAGTAATAGTTACACCAGGGTCATGAGATATAAAAATTCATTGAGCCATACACTTAAGATTTGTGCATTTTGCTATAACTAAATAAAAAAAAAAAACTAGGAAAAGTCTGGATGATGAGATGTCTGTTTTGATAAAAAGTACAGCATGAATGGCAGCATTCTAGAGTTGCTGAGGACTCGGAGACAGCAGCCCCCCCCCCCCCCCCCGCCCCCGGTCCTTCTGCAGCCAGGGACATCCAGCGCTGACCTCGGGCCTGGCAGGCAGGTCTCCAGTCCCCCTGCACCAGCGCTGTAAAGCTGGCTCGATTCTTCACAGGCCGTAGACCACCTGCTCTCTCTGGGAGGCCCCAGTGTACCCTCCAAGAAAGAATGTCAAGCGTGGGAAAGGCTCTGCAGGGGGCCACTGTGGCCGGCTCTGGCGAGGAGGCCATACCAACAATGGGGGACAAAAGCCCCCTCCAGAGGAGAAGGCTGGCCTTTGAGGGCCGGCAGTCCACTTCAACCGAGAGAGGCGGGCAGGCCGAGAACCTGCCGAGGAAGGAGCACAAAGGAGGAAGCTGCTGGGTGGTGGACGGGCCACGGCCAGCCTCCCTCCCCCAGACCCACCTGCTCATCTCTTTCCTCCACCCCAACAAAAGCAAAAACTGAGGCCTCTCTCAACTTCCAATTAGTTTTTCAAACGAAATAATGAACGCTGGGCCCTACAGCTACTTACGCTTTTCGAACGGAATGCAATTATAAAGGAAAAAACCACGGTGGCAACAATTCCTGCGCTTTATCACCATTGACTACACCACCAGTGGTGTCGTGAAAGGCTTCACCCCTCCCCGCGGAGGGGCTGGGAGCTTCTTATTCCCGTGGGGGTCCTACTTAAGACCGAGTGCTATTTTTTTCCCCTAAAGAAATGCTCTAGTCAATGGGGAACTTGTTGCTTTTAATGATAACCCCTTATGTTTGTATTAACTTCGAGTTCACAAAGAGGCTTCCCAACCATTGCTTCATTTGCTCCCTCCCACAGCCCCCTGGAGAAAGGCAGGGGTGGGAGGTCAGGTGCCCCCGTGGGGTCCCACTGCCCGGAGGGAGCAAAGCTGGGAACTGATTCCTGATTCCAGGGCAGTGCTCCGGTGTGGTTTCAAGACTCCAGGTCCCTCAGGAAAGGAGCTGGGGAATCGGATGAATTAAACAATCAAACACATGGACTTGATGCAGACTGCTTTACTCTGCTCCTACCAACAGACAGGAAAGAACAGTGACGACCATATCTACGCTGATCAAACACTGAGTCAATGAGGAGGGCCGGGCACTTTGGTTAAGTGTTTTGGGCATGACCTCATTTAATCCTTACAAAGCCCTTAGACGTATTATTGCCATTTTTACTGATGGGAAACCAAGGCCCTGAGGGCTAAGGAGGGGCACAGCGGCTAATCAAGCAGGTCAACTGGACTCTAAACCACCATGGTTAATACTTCTTAGAGAAAGCCAGGCCCAGCACTCACTGTGGCGTCGAAGAAAAACCAGAGTCAAATGGTAGTTAAAGCAGTAAAAACAGGTTTCATTCAGGACTGCAATACGGGGAAAGAGTCCTCAGTACAGAACCGGGCTCAATTCAGAACACAGCATGGGCAAGTGGGAATTTACAGCCAAGGGGCAGGGTGGGGATCAGTGGATGGAAGAAGGAGCTTCAGGCTAAATGGACCTAACAGGACCCTTGCTGAAGACCGGCCAGGGTGATCAGACATCACCTGAGGGGCAGTAGAGGATGTCCAGCTAAGTTGGAAAGCAATCTGATTAAAATCATATTTCCACCCCCCCCACCAATTGAGTACATACTGTTAGAATTACCTGTATTTCAAAAGTTATCTGAATGTATTTATGTTTCAACTAATAGACTTAGAGGCGATGAGCAGGAGTAGATGTACGTAACCAGGGGCTAATTAGGAAGGTGCCAAGCACTGAACCAAGCACTTCAGATGCACGACGCTCCTTTAGTTATACGACGTGGGCACAGTTATTATCTCTCTTCCACAGAAGAGGAGGCTTAGAGAACTGCAGCCCCCGGCCCCACATCCCTCGGCCTCAACCACCCTAACAAGCGGTGACAGCAGGCTTGCCTGACACTCGATCTATCCACTGGACCATACCATTCACTATGACTTCTCTACAGATACTATACACCCTCTGGGTGATGGTGGTCCCGGCACAACTTCAAAAGGGGTATCCCTGACATAAATGTGTCTGAGCCTAAGAATACTCATGGGTTCAGCCTCCTTTTAAGACAATTCCTCCCCTCCCCCACTGCACACCAAGCCCAAACTGTCAAGGCAAAAGCAGAGGGGCCTTCAGACACCAACAGGGCTCCTTTGCAGACAGAAGGTGCCCACTGCTGGAGAAGAAAGGATGCTCGCTTTTCCAGGCAATTCTCAGTCCTGTTAGGCAAGAGGCAAGAAGGAGTAATGGAAAAAGGCCTGGAGAAAGACCATGGCCACCGTGTCAACAGTACTTCCCAATTAAGTCCTCCTGTTATGTGCCCTGGGGATCCCAGAAGCCCGAACAAACTCTCAGTTAGACCTCTGTTCCTGTTATTATCTTTATTCCAAAACAGATTAATTACAAATTTCAACTTTTCAAATGCAACACCTGGCAGCTAAGTTAGGAATATTCACAGCATCTGGCTAGGGCACCATGCCAAAGAAATGGAGTATCGGGGCTCACAGGTATCCACTCTGTGTTGGGGAAACAGGAAACAACAAGCAAAAGTATAACCACAATTTTGACTTTTTTCTGTTTAAATAAAGTTTCTTCATTCCTCTTTACAAACTGAATTGTTCTTGACTCCTTTTCTTGATACTCATTTCAGCTTTCTTCTTCCTTCCTTCTTCGGACACTAGTGTGCTGTTCTGAAAGAAAATGGGGACAAACGGGATTACTGAGGTTTCAATTCACTGTTACAGTTCCTAACTGGTGACAACAGAGGGACCAAGGCCCTCTGCCATTGATAAGATCCCACTTTATTTATTTATGGCCCATCTCATTTCACAAGAGGTTGTGAGACAGCTAGTTCTAACCATAGCTGATGACAATGTAAATAAAAAACAATGACACAAACCTGACAACTAAGAAAGTGGCATATGGAGCTCTGAGGTGAGGGAATTCCAGGCACACCTCTCACAGTGCAAGGCCAAAAAGACAGTGTAAATTTCAACTAGGGGGAAGAAAAAGGAAAGCTTGAAGAATGTTCGTCTTCCATCTCCCAGACTCTGGATCTGCCAAGCAGCCCGGGGCCCTTAGGGAGCTTGGAAGACAACATTCTGCCATTCAGTACAGAAACCTGCACCATACTCCTGCCATGCAGGACTCCTGTCATGTTCCTGCCAACGGTCAGCCTCAGCATCTAAACCTAAGAATGAGTCTCAAAAATGGGACTCAGCTCACAGAAAAATTTTAAGAGGGGATAAAAACCTTTCAATCTCTTTATTCCTTCTTTCCCCATGGCTGTCCTTCCCTAGACTCAAAGAACTGATGGGGAAACACAGGAACGAAAATGACAATCCAGACGGCCACTGTGCAACCAGGAGGGTGAAACAGCAAACGAGTGTTTCGGCAGCTCCAGCAAGCAGAGCGCCGACACACACGCCGTCCCGAGCGGGCAGTTATACCCAGTGGTGAGGGTGGACGTGATGGAGCTGCAGTCTCACAGGATGGCAGGCCCTAAGCCAATTAATCAGTAGTTCTGGGGGACATACACAGGCACAGAACTAATCCTGAGGGCTGAAGGGAGTGCTCCTAATTCCCTGCCAACATCCAGGTACACTAAAACGTGTGTGCTCCGAAATGTCCGTGCAGAGAGGACAGCATGAGTACGAAGGAAGAAGAGCTGAAAGGCTAGTGGTTCACAAGCCACCATCTTGGCTAAGAAGTTATACCCTCTATCAAGCCTCATCAAATCAATGTCTGTCCTTGGATCAAAATCATTTAGCTACCAGGGACTTTCCTTTAAAATACTAGGTCCCAACCTCTGGAAGTCCCAAACGTCCACATGATCAAGCATTTTTCCTTTCTCTCAAGCAGTGTGATTTGGGGGTAGCAGCAGCGTGAGGGTAGACTATCTACATAGCAAGAAAAAAAAAATCAACCCAGAATTATTTCAAAGAATTAAAGAGCTCAATAATTAGCAGAAAGGACTAGTTCAAAAGTGAAATCCCAGAGCAACTCTAATTCAGGACAAAACCAATTGGGTATGTCAGGGAATGGGGGTGGGGACAAGGGACTGACTACACAGGGGAACTTTCTCAAGTGTAGAAATAGTCTGTCTTGACTGAGGTGGTATTTACATGATCGAGTAAATTTGCCAAGATTCACAGATTGTACACAAAAATGGTGAATTTTACCAGATATAAATTATACCTCGATTAAACCCGAGAAAAATAAAACCAAGACAAATGCAGTCTTTCTGTGTTGAGGATTAGATGTACCAGCTTCTGCTCCCACGTCAGTGAAAAGGCTCTATGGTCTATGCTTTTGTCGATCCCTCTGATTTGCAGAGGATTAAACATTAGATGGCTCCGTTTTTTGGGCAGGGATCAGGGAACATAAATGAAAACTCAGATACCCCCCCCTTCTCTTTATTGGCCTAGTACAGGGGTCAGCAAACGCCAAATCCAGACCACCACCTGTTTTTGTAAATTAAAGTTGTAATGGGGGGCGCCCGGGTGGCTCAGTCAGGTAAGCGTCCGACTCTTGGTTTCGGCTCAGGTCACGATCTCAGGGTCGTGGGATTGAGCCCCGCATCGGGCTCCCCGCTCATCTTGGGGTTGCGTGTCCCTCTCCCTCCCCTTTTGCCCCTCTCCCAGCTTGTGTGCATGCTCTCTCTCTCTCTCAAATAAATAAAATCTTTTTAAAAAGTAAAGTTTTATTGGAACACAGCCATGCTCATCTGTTCACAGTCTACTCCTACTTTCACATACCAGTGGCAGAGTTGAGCAGCTGCGACAGAGGCCATTCGGTCTGCAAAGCCTAAAACACTATCTTTCCGGAATACTTTTGCTGATCCCGAGTCTAGAGGAGTTGATCAATGAAGCAGACACTCCCTCTCCTTCCTTCCCTTCACCCTGCCTCCACTTCCGTCCTCATCCCAGGATTAATACCTAGAGAATGGGTGATCTTTCACGTGACATTTTAGCCACACAGGGAGCAGCCCTGAACTACACCCTTTGTTTTAGGAACCAGGATTCTAATGCTGGCTTTGAGCTATGGCCAATAGTCCTTCATAATGGAGTCTCACCAAACCATACTGCTTGGCCCAACCAAAGATTAGTGTTATAAAAAGGCCTACAAACAGTGACAAGGTGTGCCAGGATTTGCCATGGGACCATCGTTTTGTCAACTTAGATGTTCTGAATGGGGTCCCCATTCAAGGAGTCCAAGGTTGCCTGTCTTATCCTCAACTCCACTCTCCTATAAACACAGAGAAAGGGGCTGCTGTCTATAAAGTACCCCATGGACATAAGGGAGGATAGAGTCTAATGTAGTCAAAGCCAGGTCAGAGTTACCCCATCAGTTGGGCTAACTCAGGGAGCTTTGATTTTTGCCCTGGTCCAGTCATAACCTGGTCAAGGAAGTTGGAACATGGCCCCAGATTTCAGCTTTGGCTTGGGGAAGGTGGGAAGGAACGAGTGGGCTGAAAATCAGATAAACAACTGACATGCACGAGGTGGGCAAGATGGGAAAGGGGCCCTGCTTCTGGGATGAGTCCACCCTTCATCTTTACCGTAGTGTCCTATATTTTGCCAATCTACTGCTCTGCTCTGCAGCGATCCTGCCAAAGGAAAGAGGGTTTGAGAATCAAGAAAGGACAGTGGGAAGAGAAATAAGCTTGAGAAAAGAAATGGCAGCAAACACCCAACCAGAGCTTCCGTTAGGGTCAATGATTTCCCCAGTGGCAGAGTTTGTTCTGGGACTCACAAAGACAGAAACAGAAGAGTGGACTTTAACTTTCTGTATAAGGGGTGTGTGTGTGTGCGAGTGTGCGTGCGCATGCTGGAGAGGGGAGAGAACCATGGTCTCTCTCCTCAGAAAATGTACACAGTTTTAGGATTCCAGATTAGGACCTCCTGCTAAGCAGGATCTAAATCTACCTCACCTTCCCCTTGATTTTGTTCATCTCGTGCGGGCAACTTCCAGAAAAGAGAGAACTCCACAGAGTGCAGCCCTTTGGCTCCCTGGGGCCTGGACTGGCTGCTGCCAGGGAACAGGCCCCTGCTTAGAAAAAACAGCTGAATCCCTGGCTCTTTCGCAGATGCAATGCACAGCTGCCAAGTGAAGGCTGTTGGAGGGGCAGAGAAATGAAGCAGCTGCCGCGGCCGGCACTCAGCGACGCTCTGGCGGAACGTGGATTACTAAAGGGAAGTGAGGGAGCACGTCGGGACCAGTCTCCAAGGCGAGGCTCTCAGAAAGCTCACAATGGAGACTCGAGCAGGCTGAGACACGTAGCTCTCGTGCCTACCGACAGTCTCCGAGAAAGCCTCTGATCTGACCCAGTGAACTGGAGCCGTGCTGGAGGGCACACTCTTGAGTTCGATTCTTACAGCAAACGTCTTGGAGGAGAAAGCAGGGCACATCTGAAACTGTTAACTTCCAAAGGTGAAAGCAACTCTGACCTTTTCCTATTGACCTTTACGCCCCAAGTTCTCATAAAGTCCAATCAATGAGAAACACCTATGTGACATTTAAATGTGCCTCTCATCCAGGTGCGGAAGTCAAGCTGCCGGTGAGCTGCTGCCGCCGCGCTGACATCCGACTGCTTGTGCGAACCTAAGGTGGTCTGGTTGTCAGGGCCGTGGTGGAGGCCACTGGGCAGGGCTCCCTGTTGGGGGCCTCTTATAACCTGTGGCAATTTCGGGGTGGCGGAGGGACTGGGAAGCGCACGGACCTCATGTCCGTGGGTCCATCAGGGGTTGCAGAGGAGGAATTCTCTGGGGCCTGGGAGGAGGGCAGCATAGGATTCTCTGTGGCAGTAGTGAACATTTTTATACCAGCCAGCACATTACCGACAATCTTCGGTCACACGTGTTCTAATCCACTCTCATCTTCATAAAGAAATTTTCTTCTCTTATTCTAATGTGTCAGGGCGTAAATCACTGTGGTTTTAATACACTGAAAGCTGATCACCAAGGCCCTTTTCTGACTTAAAAGGCTGGATTAAGGTGTCACACTTGCCCCCAAGGATCCGAATCATTCTACCACAAACCCTTGTTCAAAGAGCTGGGGGAGCAGAGCTGACAAAAATATTTCTAATCCCCCTGTGAGTCCCTGGCCCAACCCCAAGCCTCACCTCTTGATTGCCTGCTGGGCCAGCATCCGATTGCCAGCCAGAAACGTCACACTGCCCAAGACAGCCAGGTACTTCAGGGTCTGGAACATGTTGAGCTGAGTCCAATAGACATACATGAGCCCCAGCATCGCTGCACAGACAGATGTCATGATAGCCAATTAAGTGAGACAGTGACAGTGGCCTCGGACAGAGGACAGTTAGGAACAGTAACTGCTGGATTCTGAAGAAGTCTCCATTTCTAGACCAGCTGGTTTTATTCCTTTTATCTGATGCCAGAAAATAAATAACTCAATATACTTACTTTGGCTACCAAAAAATCCAGACGTAAAAATCAGACCTCAGCACCTCAGCTACTTTAACTATCTTGTTCCATGTTCCAGCTCACATCTGTTTTATTGTAGGGTTTATTTTTATTTTTTGTCTTGTTGTTGTTTTTTAAACATGACTGTCCTATTATATTTAGGATTCATTTTATTTTTCAAATTCTGAACAAAAGCATGCAGGATTAAATAAATGAATAATTTCCTTTCCATTACAAAAAATGATTAAGGGTATTTTGCCAGTGTGACTAGGAAGGAAGCAAGGAGCACTAGGCAGGAAGGGTTAGTGAAAAGGGCTCAGGTCTGGGCACTGGGAGCCCTGGGTTCTGGTCCAGGCTCTGCCCTTCCCAGCCACTTCCATTTCTCTGAGCCGCCATTCTCTCACTTGTCAAACGGGGATCATAATTCCTGCCCTGGGCACCCCCAACAGGGTTGTGATGAAAATCAAATGAGGGAATGTGCACAAAAAGCACTCTGGCAAGGAAAGTCATGGCTCTAAACAAATTTATATTCAGGTTTTGTTCTCAGCCTGACTCGGGAGGGCTATCATTCAAATCCAGTAACTGGGCTGGAGAGAAAGGTCATCTGGTCAATTTTGCCCAGAAGAATGACGGATGAACTACAGCAGGGGTTCTTAACCATTTCTGAGGTCACGGACCACTGTGAGAATCTGATCAAAGTGATGGACTCCCTCTTTCCCCAGAAAAACACAGACACACATTTGCCTAGAATTTCAAGTGATTCATCTGTGAAGCCCCACAGACTCCGCACACTATGGACACACAGAGGGTTACTCCTGAAAGAGTCAACGAAATCAGAAAAGACTACTGAAGTCTCGGGGCGCCTGGGTGGCTCAGTTGGTTAAGCCTCTGCCTTTGGCTCAGGTCGTGATCCCAGGATTCTGGGATTGAGCCACGCGTTGGGCTCCCTGCTCAGCAGGAGAGTCTGCTTCTCCCTCTCCCTCTGCCCCTACTCGTGTGCATTCTCTCTTTCTCTTACTCACTCTCTCTCAAATAAATAAAATCTAAATAAATAAATAAATAAAATCTTAAAAAGAAAAAAAAGAATACTGAAGTCTCAGTAAAATGCAAGGCACCAGAGATGCAACAGGGTCAAACGTCTCTGAAATGCTTAGCTGATTTGTGAATTTACTGTCTTGTTATGTTTAGGTACGGAGTTCTCAAGAGAACAATGCAGAACAGTGTGTCCAATTGTGGAAGAAACTGTTTTCTACTACTGTCCAGACACAGCCGCCAGCAAACGTGAAGATCGATATACAGTGGGGAAAGATAACCTTTGGAAATTGCATTAATGCTCTTCATCCAGGAAGATGGCTCAATGTAAAACTACGATAAGTGAGTAATCTCTGGAAATGAACAAGGCTATTGAGTAGGCGTAAATGGCAAGCCACCAGCAGCCTAGCACAATGAAACCCAAAATAATGACAGCTGTTCTAAGCTGATGGACCGAACAGGTTTATCATCATATTAACTGTCCTAAAAGGCCGGGAGGAAGCGGGAAATGTTATGCTATTAAGTCATTATATAGTTAATAGGTTGTGGGTCTACTTAACAGGGCTTTCGCGTGGGCGGGCCAAATGTCAGAGGAGGTTAAATGGAATTAGCAGCCTGGGGTGCTTACCAGCATGTCCCAGGTGAAAGATGATCGTGCTTGGAGCAAAAGTGAAGTTGGAGACATTGGCACCAATCCGGATCCACTGAACGATGGGGAGAAATAAATTAAAAAGACATTAGAACTTGAAAGGGAAGACAACACATGCCATGTCAATGCTAATCCAATGAACAGCCCCAAGGGCTTAAAACTTCATGCACACTTGAAGGACAGGAAATTTTTCCAAGTGACAACCACCCTATTATAAGTCCTCGGGAAAAAAATTGTTCCCTTTCCTCTTTAGAAAGGCATTCCGACACGTGCTTTCAAATGTGCTTGGGTAACTCAAACCTGAACATCCTTTTTAATGACAGCAAACTTTTCTATTTTAAAGCAGGTGAAACCACGAAGCCGAAAGGTCAGAGACCACATTTATGATGAAGTCACTGGCACTCCACCTAATTCCTCTAAGTACGGGTAAGATAAGCCCCCTGGCAGCCGGCAGGGTGCGTGCTCTTGCTCCGGGTTCTGTGCCTTTTGGAATTCTGATCACTCAAATATGAGAACAGGTGCACCTACTCAACACTGGGTTGCTGAAAGATCATGCGGTGCCTTCCAGATTTAGACTGACCAATAATTACTTTACTGAAATCAATGAACGAATTAGGAACACAGGCAACTAACCTCCCAAAAGTAAGAGCTACTGAGTTTTCCATGCAGTTCCCAAAGTTCTCTGAACTTTGAGGATACGCATCTCATAATTTTTAAAGAGAGACAAAGAAAAAAATTGGTTAAAAAAAAATTCAAATAGTACATTAAAGTATAAAAATTTCCTTCCTTTGTACTGCCTAAAAGGTCCTCTCTTGGGAGGTGACCGACACAAACCGATAATACCTTTTTAACGTTTTTACACAAAGAGGATCATACAAACATACTATCCTAACCCTGCCCTGCTTCACTCAGTAAGACATCATGGCAATCTTGTCATATCAGCATATAAATCTATCCATTCTTTTCTTTTCTTTTTTTTTTAAAGATTTTATTTATTTATTTGACAGAGAGAGACACAGCGAGAGAGGGAACACAAGCAGGGGAAGTGGGAGAGGGAGAAGCAGGCTTCCCGCTGAGCGGGGGAGCCGGATGCGGGGCTCGATCCCAGGACCCTGGGACCATGACCTGAGCTGAAGGCAGACGCTTAACGACGGAGCCACCCAGGCGCCCCTATCCATTCTTTTAATAAACTTGCCTATTATCCCATTATATGATGTGCCATAATTTATTTAACACTAGCTTTTATGAGGACTTTGGGTTGTTTACAGTTTTAGGCTCCAAATGCTGAAAGGCATTGCCTCTGTACCCTGCTTTTATAGAGCTATCAGCACTGGGCCTTGCTTTTTCCACACTTGACCTCATCTGAACACTCTTACAGAGCATCCGAATCCATGTACTTTTATCGTTTTTAGTGGCTGTTAGGGACTTTCTCATGTCCTTCATTAATGGATCAGTTTACTTGGCTGCTCCCTCGGAGTGGGGAATTTTAGTTATTCTAAAATTTTTTGACCATCGGTTCAGGTCACAGCTGCTGGACCCCTCTGGAGCTGTGCTGAGGCAAGAGCACAAAGCCTCCTTTAGAACAGCTACATCTGCTGAGTCTGGCGCCAGACACACGCTGCCCATGCTAATTACAGCTACTCACCAGAGCAAAGAGCAGGAGCAAGGGCGAGAGGATCAGGGCGGTGAATGTATTGGACACCACCGTGGGGGGTCTCTTCTCAGGCTCTCGGAACAGGTGCTGCCGAAAGAAGACATACCAAGAGTGTTGAAGAATGTGCCCTTCCCAGCAGGGGCTGCCATGTACACCAGGGACCAAAATGCCAATGACAGTCAAGAAGAAATGCTTCCCAGGGGCTACACCCTCCTGGCAGAGAGTGGACACTTGGCCTTTTGCCTCTTCTCAATGCTGGCTTCTAATCCCAGAGGTCTTCTTCCAAAGACACCAGTGCCAGCTCACTACTTGGTCAACCCTCTTTTTCCCTCAAAGACTCATTGCCATTTAGAAGTTAGAAAATACAACCCATCCAATGGCATCTGCCTACTGTCAAAGAGGGTGCCTGCGGGGGAGGTGGGGGGACCTGGGTGGCTCAGTTAAACATTTGACTTTGGCTTAGGCCCTGATCGCAGGGTCCTGGGATCTAGCCCTGCATTGGGCTCCTCACTCAGCAGGGAGTCTGCTCATCCCTCTGCCCTTTGCCGCACTCATCATCTCTCTCTCTCTCTTTCTCAAATAAATAAAAATCTTAAAACAAAAAGAGGGTGCCCAGGTATATGGACGGTTTAGGTGACAGACAACCAAGGCAGGACTCTGAATTTCATAATGCTTCCGGGTTCCTAGGGTGGCAGTATCATATGCTGCTGCCCGACTGAAGTTAGGTAACTGGGGTAACCTCACTCTCCTTTACAATTTAAAAAAGCCTCACTATGGATGGTTCCAACCATAACTCACCCCTTCTGCATCCAGCCCATGGCTCTAAGGAAGCCCTAAATAAACTTTCTCCCTTCCTTGTTCTGCCCGATTTCTGGAATTGAACCAGAAAGCTGGGCAAGCATTGCTCTGGTATTTCTTTGTTTTCTTTGTTTTTTTTTCTGAGAAACTCTACATGAAGATCTTTGGGAAGCTCATCTAGATAGTGTCATCCAGCAAAAGCAGGGATGGACTGGGAGTCCAGAGACTTCTATCTGGGCCCAAGTAAAGGGGCAAGTTGCTTTACCAATCTTTGCCTCAATTTCTAGCTGGAAAGTTGGGGGCGATGACCATCCTATTAGGCCTGTAAGGAGGCTGTAAGACCAAATGTAATAGGGCATCTGACTATGCTTTGTAAGCTCTGACACATGCAAATTTAACTTTTTTACAGACTTTCTTCCAATGCATAAACTTGTAACTGTCGTTCCTTGCCAATGTCCAGCCAACCCAGCTCCATGATGAGGCAGCCCCACCTGGGAGTCCTGTTCCCAAATTTTCGCCTCAGATCGTCTCTGCTGCCGCTGCCATTAAGGGATCTCTAACACTGTCCTGGCAGTTGCTGCCGCCTAGTCCACCCTACAACTCAGGCAGCACCCTTCATCATCACGGTCGTACCTTCTACAATTTCACTGCATTTGACAATCTTAAACAATGCTCTATCAAAATTAGGAGGATTTCAAAAAGAATCCTATTACAACACCCTTTGGGCCCTTGTCCTTTTTTTTATTAGTGAAAAAGAAGTAGTCTGCCTGAAACATTTCAACATTAATTCATATGTGGTCTGAACAGTTTCCACGTTACTACAGTATGATTATTTCTCATGACTGCAAAACAGCCCACTGAGTGCGTCCACCTCCATTTCCTTAACCAGTGGCTCAAACTGCTTAACAATTACTAGGTTTATTTCATTTTGTTTATGTTTATTTTGTAAAATGTTTTAGAAACTTTTCAAAGTCTTTCTTTCCTTTTTGGTTACCTACTTTTTTTTCCTTTTTTAAAAGATTTTATTTATTTATTTGACAGAGAGACACAGCGAGAGAGGGAACACAAGCAGGGGGAGTGGGAGAGGGAGAAGCAGGCTTCCCCACAGGGCAGGGAGCCCAATGCGGGGCTCAATCCCAACCTGAGCCGAAGGCAGACACTTAATGACTGAGCCACCCAGGCGCCCCTGGTTACCTATTTTGATGCTCACCACAGTCTCATGAGCTGAGCTGGGCAGAGACCGCTAACTGTGTGCACAGAAGGTGAATCTTTGCAGAGAGGATTGCCTGGGGGAGGAAAGCCCTGTCCTCCTGCCCAGGTGAGTTTTCCACCTAGAGGTCCCAAGAGCCCTGATTTCTTTAGGAGCAGAGAGGAAGAAAGCCAATCCGACCCGTGCTGTAGCTCTCAAGCAGCCAGCTTAAGGCTGAATCTTCTGGATGCTTAGGAAAAACAGCCTCTTATTTTGTGTCTAACTATCTACTTTCAGGAAGCTGGACACTGGGCTCTGAATCTGTTTGTTCAAGCTCTAGGATGGGACTGATATTTGTCCTAATTCACAGGGTGGTGAAGCCCACACTATAAAATACTGTATGAACGGGCTAAAGAAGAAGCCAGAACTGCAGCCCAGGCGTTTACTGCCCGTTTCATGTTTCCCCTCCATGTTTAGTGCAGGAGCCCCTAGGCTTCTGATACCTGAATTTCCTGTTTGGGGGTGAAAAGGTTCTTGGACAGGACAGTCGAGGGAGCATCTTCTTCAGGGAACTTGATGACCACATCAGCCTAAAAAAATAAAGGCAGTTTTTAAAGGCAAGGGCAGAGAAGGGGTTGAAACTCATCAGCAGGGTAGCCTCCTCTAACTCACATCCAGGACCATAACTGAAAATAGCTCCAAGCAGTCCAATCACTTCTGATCCATTAGCTGACAAATTGGGGCAGTAAAAATTTCAAGAACAAAACAAGTATTTGTTGAAAATGCTTTTCAGAGCAAGAGTTCCAATTTTCTACTGGTCTGGTGAGCCCCACAGAGCTGCTTAATAAAAAAATCCCAGCTGGTATTCAGGCTGTTACAGTTGCAATCAGAAACTGCTTGGTGTCCCTGGGAAGTGTGAGTTAGTCACAGAAAAAAAAAAAAAAAAAAGAAAGAAAGAAAAGAAAATGTGCTCTTGTACAGAAAAGAGCCCAAAGTCCAGGAGAAGAAAAAAAGCTTTGCCTACAACGCAAAGAAATACAGCTGCCCCTTTGTCTTGCAGAGGGAGCGGCCACCGTTCGAGGCCTGCGCTTTGGCCTCTGCTAGCTTTCCAACCACCTCCTGCTCTTGACCAGACTCAGGTACTCCAGCAAAATGGACCCATTTAGGTCTCACGGAAAGCGCTTTCTGCAGGCTCTTCCCTAACGATCATTCCACGGCCCCCAGATACTACTCTGATAAACCTTGCAATTCTTCAACCCCTAGCTCGAATGTGATCTTTCGAGTTTGTCTCTCATCACACCAATCAAAGGTGAGATATATAGGTGAGAAGCACTATGTAAACTATAACACAGTAGGCAAATGTTGGTTAATAGTTTATGAGCATCTTGCATATTCTACAACTCACTATCCCAAACCATCCTGAATTATCACAATTCAACTCTTACCCTCTCCCACCCCACCCTAACGCTGTACCGCGTCTCAAAGACCGGGGCCTTTATCTCTTACATCTATGGATTCCCTATAGCATTTTGCTATAAAATGAAAACCTCCTTCAAGTGTAACTTTTCTAGAAACTCGCTAGGAACCACGAGGGCAAATTTAGGCTCCATTCACTCACTCAATTACTACTTATCAAGCACTAGGTGCCGGGCCATGTGCATACCCCTAAGACTTCTAGTGGAAAAGAGCACAGCCCCTCACCTCACCAGGCCTATTTACTGTCCTGCACAGGCGAGGCTAGGGGGAAAAAAAGCTGTCTCTGTGGGTGGCACAGCCACTCTTGCCTTGGTCAAGGCGCATCTGGGCACATACCACATTCCAAAGGATTGGGTTCTTCAAAGTGGCATCCCCGATGATCAGATAGAGAGTGTAGGTGCCGGACGCAGAGTCAAATTCGATCTTTCTCTCGGAGGTATCCAGTTCAAACTTGTACACATTCTTGCTGTCTGGCTCAGCAACGAACACCACTTCCTGGCCCGTCTTCTGGTTATGGAGTCGGACAAATGTCTGGATAGAACAGTACTACAGTCTTTAATCTGATCATTTCAAAACTCCCTCTGTGCCCAGCACCAAATCAACAAGGCAGCAGACTGTTGGCTCTTTTGTCGCAGTGGGAGCTCTGGGATCCGCCAGACTTGCCCAAGCCAGAGGAAGGGGTGAGCGTCCCACTCTCGGCTCCAGCCCCGAGAGCAGGGCTCACTTTTTGTTAGTATAAGAAATTTAACTTAGGGGTCCAGCTAATTCTCAACTACTTGGAGGCTGAATGCCCAGTTTGGGGATGATTTAAGCTCTTTGCTGCCACTGCAATTTCTTCTTCCTGCCAGCCTTTTGGCCACTTCGCTGCCCAATTAACTTCTTCACCAGAGGGTGAAAAGAAGGGAAATGAGGTGGAACTGTAAGAGGCCCATTTTCAATTTCCTAGTGCCTCCAGCTAAAAATTTAGTGGAAGAGGCTTGGGGATTGATAGCAAGGCAGAGTTCTAACTGAGCAGAGCAGCCTGGTGTCACAGAGAGAGCCCAGGCTCTGAAGACAGGCAGATTTGCATGTTACGTAACCTCCTCGGGCCTTGAGCCCTTCATCTTTACGAGAGAAAGATGGTGGTGCATCTGTGTCAAGATTCACAATGATGAATGCAAAGCATTTAGTGCTGGGCCTGGTATGATGCTAGCCAGTCAACAAACAGTAGCTGAGATTCTCGTCAGCGCAATGGTTCAAGTCTAATCACCTTACCCCGGCCAGTGGCATGAGAAACTAAGGCTTCTGCATATTAGAATTGCAGCAAAATTTAACATCCACGCAGAGCTTTTCTCTCAGGTGTTTCGAAATAAAGAATTGAACAAGACAGGTAGATTGGTTCCATTTAACCATGAGGCATGAGGATTAAATGAGTTGCCATGGTCACACAATTCAGCGCTGGATCCATGGGAAAAAATGTAAATCTCATTTGTTACTTTACACCTGGGCAACAAAGAACAACCATCGAAGTATTCAGGGAAAGGGCCCAAAGATGTGAAGCATCCTGACTATGGCAGTCTTGGCCAAGAATGGGATTTAGGAGCCCGGATGCTGCCTGATCTTCCTCCTGCCATAGCCAAGGGCAGGCGGCAGCCAGGCTCACCTGCAGAATGCAGGCTCTACCTGTGAGGTCTCTATGCCATGGTTCTGAGGTATGATCTTGGGTGAGATAAGTATTCAGTTAAAGTCACACTTCCTCACTAACTCTCCCTGTCCTAGCCCTAATCCCACCAATTTAGTCTCGTGATTTCTTCTCTTCACATTCTTTCCTCCCTTGTGCTGTTTTGCTGGCAAATGTCATTCTGAAAAGGAGCTGGGAAATGCTAACAGGTTGAAGTGCTTTGAGCCAGTGAGCCATGGCTAAATGCCCTGACTGAGCTCTCTGGAGCTCTCTGGAGCTAGGGGTGGAGGGGAGAGGAGCAGAGAAGTGCCAGGGTGGTGGTTCTGGGAGCAGCCACTCTGGGGCCCCGGCACATGTGTAGCAGTTGGAGCTAGAAGAGACAGAAAGCAAAAGGCTTCCAAGTGAATCCACTCACCTCAGTCATCTGCTCTGAAGCTATCTCTCGGCACGAACTCGAGTCTGCTATAGCTCTTGCTCAAGTATCCCTACAAAGCACCTAAACCAAGGCCACCAGGTCCCATGCTCTTTCCCGTCTTCCAGCAAAGTATTTACCTGAATTTCCCTTTATAATACTGCCATGGATGGGGAAGGGCTGAGAGCAGTTATTCTCAATCAAGGGGGATGACAGAGGTGGGGTAGAAGGTGTCATAAAAGACAAGGGGCCATATCAGATTCTCTGGGGAAAGGGTATGATTTGAAAATCTTTTAAATAATAATTATCATTATTTTATATATGGAAAACAAAAACAAAAGCTGTTTCTTTCATAATACAGAGCAGACACAAGTTAAAAAGGGCTATTCTTCCGATTCCCACAAACTCTGCTGTGGTCAGAACTAAACGCTTTGGGCCTACTGCCTAGGTTTTCCTTTTTCAAAATTATTTCAATCTGTTTTGTTTTTGTTTTTTTCCTCCGAAAGAAAAAAGCCTCAATTAAGGGCTAATCTGCCTTAAATATATCTTCTCGATACCGGCTGATCTTTTAAAAAGAACGGTGTCTTCCACGTTCAGGGTTACCACCAGTATATGAGGGGACAGTGTCATGTGGGAGAATGTGATGGACCATCAGGGTCCAGAGTGAAGACCCAGAAGCAGGAATTAGGACTGTATACACCACACCAACAACCCTGGCGTGCGTTAATGTTGCAGACGAAGAGAAGCACCTGGGCCTTCTCCTGACCTGGTGAGGGGTGAGTTCAGCACCAGTGTTCACATCTACCAGCTGGAAGAACAAAGCAAAGTTCTGGTGGCTGTCTGCGATGAATGTGCCCTTGGCTTTCGCTGGGTAGGTCACCCTGAAAGAGACATGTATACAGCAAGTCTTCAGAGAGGATCTGCAGATCTCTGAGAGCGGAATAAAAAAGACAAACGGCACTTCACTGCCTAATCCTCCCTCTCCCACTGGAACACTTTCCTGCTGTGGACAGACAGGAGGAGAGAAGCTGTCTGTGGCCGGAGGGCAAACTGCACTGAGGGAGCCAGGATGAGAAAAGTACAGAATAAACTCCTCGGGGTCTGGGGAAATGCTACATACAAACACTCCAGGCTTTCCCTTCAAGGACCTAAGGGTAAGGATGTCAGCTCCACCATGTCAGGCACCAGTGGGGCGCACGCACGCAGGTGGAGTGGAGAGCCGGGCGGGCGAGACCTCCAGGGGAAATCATCATGGCGTTGATGCTGGCAGTTACGTGTGAGCGAGGTTGGGAGATGAGGGGGTAGGAGACGCAAAGAAGAGCACTCATCCCTTTTTCTTTTTTTTTTATGCTGTATTTTTTTTTCCTGGACACAGTTTCAATGTATTTTTCTGCCTGAGATTGGGTTTTAAAAAGTCATTTTCTCAAAAGGCAGACTTGATGAGAAAACTGTTCTTTCCACAGCCATCTCCTGGGATGGAAGGGTAAGATGGCCTGGGGAAAAACCAAGCCAAATGGCTCTAGAGCCCACACCTGGCTATACTTTATACTTAGGCTTTATATTTACTTGTGAGCAATACCAACTCTTCATTTGTATAGAGGATTAAACTTTGCAAAGCATCCTCACGACATTACTTCCGTGGATTCTCGACAGTGCTCTCATCTCCAACGTCACTGAAGGTAACTAAGCCAGAGGCAGAAAGCCCAGCCCTTTCAGAGGACTTAAAAGGAGTGAATGCTTAGCTTCTAGGCTCTGGCTAACATCTTCTGTCTTCATAATGGCCTTGAGGGTTCACCTTCCTTCTCTGGCAGCTAGAGCCACCTAGGTGAGTAAAGCTGGGGTCCGAACTATACCAGGGGTCTAGATGGGCTCCCCAAAAACAAGGATCTGGGAGAGGGCTGACAAATAGACTTCACACAGTGCTCTGGCCCCCCTCTAATCAACTGCCAACGGTTATCTAGAAGTTGGTGTTAAAAAAAGATTCTGAGTACAGCAGGAGCAAATTCTTTGACTGACGAACGTGAGAAAGGAATTCACAGCCCCAGTACTAGGTACCTGCCGTCTCAACTCTAAGGGCCTCTGAGGCCTCCAACCAATTTCAGACCCACTGTGGGCCAAAGTGAGTTGTCATGAGGCCACTAAAAGCAGATTCAGGACTATGAAGATAAAGAGATTACACCAAAATATAAACACACTGCTCCCTTCATTGACAAAGTCTTGTCTTTAAAAAAAAAAAAGAACAAAGTCATAAGAACTAAATAACGTGCTTGGTAGCATAGCTGATTTGGACTCAGATGTTGCCTATTCCATTGTGGACGGACCACCCATATAGACAACCCCCAAATCTGCCGGGATGCTACTTGGCGCAGTGCCAGCAAAACTGGAACCTCTTTAATTGCGGGTGCAAGCTGGGTCGCTACTGACACAGAAACGGGGCTCAGTGCCTGGGCGTGCTCCTCTCAGAGCAAGCCTGGGCTCCCCCTGCGCCGAGAAGGCACCCCACCTACCGGGTGGTTTTGGGTGCAATGCTCTGATCCTTATCCACAGTGGAGAGATCAACATTCGTGATGCCAACTTCAGTGGAGATCTTGACTCGGAGCTAGAGTGAGACATATGAGAAAATCACCAGGGTCTGCCCGTGGACACTGCCGAGTAATAATCGTTAGTCTCCCCTCCTACCACCGTCATTTCTAAGTCAGAGTCTCCCAAAGAGCCTGAACAGCTGCGGAAGCCCTTCATTGGAGGTTTGAGCTTTGAAACAGCCGATGAGTCTGAGGAGCCATTCTGAGCAATGGGGAATGCTTACGGACTGTGTGGTAATGAGAGATCCAAACACCAAGCGCTCCAGAGTCTTTGGGTTTGTCATGTATGCCACTGTGGAGGAGGTGGATGCAGCCATGAATGCAAGGCCACACAAGACGGGTGGAAGAGTTGTGGAACCAAAGAGGGCTATCTCAAGAGAAGATTCTCAAAGACCTGGTGCCCACTTAACTGTGAAAAGGATTTTTACACTGAAGAACATCATCTAAGAGCTTATTTTGAACAGTATGGGAAAACTGAAGTGATCGAGATCATGACTGACGGAGGCAGTGGCAAAAAGAGAGGTTCTGCTTTTGTAACATTTGATGACCATGACTCTGTAGACAAGACTGTCATTCAAAAATACCATACTGTGAATGGCCACAACTGTGAAGTAAGGAAAGCCCTATCTAAGCAAGAGATGGCTAGTGCTTCATCCAGCCAAAGAGGTCAAAGTAGTTCTGGAAACTTTGGTGGTGGTCGTGGAGGTAGTTTTGGTGGGAATGACAACTTTGGTCGTGGAGGGAACTTCAGTGGTCGAGGTGGCTTTGGTGGCAGTCGAGGTGGAGGTGGATATGGTGGCCGTGGGGATGGCCATAACGGATTTGGTAATGATGGAAGCAACTTTGGAGGTGGCGGAAGCTATAATGATTTTGACAATTACAACAACCAATCCTCCAATTTTGGACCCATGAAAGGAGGAAATTTTGGAGGCAGAAGCTCTGGCCCCTATGGTGGTGGAGGCCAATACTTTGCCAAACCACGAAACCAAGGTGGCTATGGTGGTTCCAGCAGCAGCAGTAGCTACGGCAGCAGCAAAAGGTTTTCATTACTGCCAGGAAACAAAGCTTAGCAGGAGAGGAGAGCCCGAGAAGTGACAGGGAAGCTACAGGTTACAACAGATTTGTAAACTCAGCCAAGCACAGTGGTGGCAGGGCCGAGCTGCTACAAAGAAGACATGTTTTAGACAATACTCATGTGTATGGGCAAAAAACTCGAGGACTGTATTTGTGACTAATTGTGTAACAGGTTATTTTAGTTTCTGTTCTGTGGAAAGTGTAAAGCACTCCAACAAAGGGTTTTAATGTAGATTTTTTTTTTTTTTTGCACCCATGCTGTTGATTGCTAAACGTAATAGTCTGACCATGACGCTAAATAAATGTGTCTTTAAAAAAAAAAAAAAGAAAGAAAATCACCAGGAATTAATAGGCATATCCAAATTTTCCTCACAAAGATGATCCTAGGATGGGAGTCTTCAATGATTTTAGTAAAACCGACTCAGCCAGGTAGGATGTCCACCTCTCCTATCAACAAGGCTTAAAAGCAACTCCTTGACTCTTATCCCTTCTTTGGCTTTGGTTGGATGGTATGTACTAAAAGGGGAAAACAAAATAGATTTTTTTCACGTGCCCTTTAAAATAAATAAGGGGGAAAACCTGTGAGCAGTAACCTTCAAATAATTCAAATTAACAAGCACTCAATTCTAAGGACGGCTATTGTTTGCCACGTGAAAGACTTCACACAACGGACTTTGTAACGACGATTTCATTTAATCCTCACAACTCTCTAAACTAATGCTCTTTCAGGTGAGGAAATTAAAGATTAAACAGATAAAGCCGCTCGCTCAGGTTTAGCTGGCTAGTAAGCGACAGTGCCAGCATTCAAGTCCAGGCACTCTGACTCAGTGTCCATGCTCTCGGGCACCCTGCTATCCAGCTTCCCAGCAACACTTAACTCTAGGCCGGGCAGTACTGTAGGTCTGCCCACGAAGACATAAGACGCCACGGCTATATCATTTGCACCATTCACCAGGTACTTCTGGTTTTCCCTCTGAGCACCGTCTAGTTGTGCTTCCCTGACCCCTGGAGTCAGGTGTGGCCACGTGACTTGCTTTGGCCAATGAAATGTGAGCCCCCTCAATGGAAGCTTTAAGAGTCAGTGTGTGATTCTCTCCTTTCCTCTGACATGGACATAGACAATGTGCAGAGAGAGGTTTGCTCCTTCAGCCAGGGTCCTGGAGTAAGGACAGCACGAAGCTGAGCCTCCAGCTGACACACTAAGATACCTAGCATGGGTAAAAAAGAAACTTCTGCTGTTCTAAGCTACTGAGACTTGGGGTTTGATAGAAGCACAGACCAGTCCATCCTGACTCTTAGTGTTTGAATTCTATGCGTGCCTTATAAATATTTTCACAAAGAGGAGCTAGCCAACACAATAAACAAGAACTTTTTAAAAATTAGATTAAAATAAGTATAAAATTCCAAGAGGCAGAAAACATTCTAAAAGTCTATTCATGGGACATTTTAAATCTAAAATCTAAGTTTTAATGTGCAAATTATTAAAACCCAGGGCACTTCTTATGTGCAAACATATCCATAAGACTTCCAAATATTTGATAAGCTTGAATGTAATGCTTAAGGAAATCCTTGCCAAATCCACTTATAGTCTAAATCAGGATCCAGGAATAGAAGGAGAGGGCTGGGCAAATAATTGAAGGACGGCTTTGGCATTTTGCTAAAATGCACTATCAAGGTGTGACAGCCTCAAATCAAGGGCAAAGAAGAAAAATTAAAAAGGGATAAAGATAGCTATCAAGTAATTTCTTTTAACAGCCTTCTCTCCCACCTCCATAATTAACTATTTTGTGATAACGGCCTCAATTATCATATTGAATAGGGGTATTCTGTTTTACTTAAAAAAACAACAACAAAAACCTAAAATGTAAAAGATTTATTACCAGAGGCTGTAAGGATATTATTACCCCCTACTTTTGAATATACAGCCACCTATTGGCAGAATTATATTCAGCAGCACTGCCTGTCACAGAGTCTAGGCAACCGGGTGAATCATGGTGGTAGGGAAGGGAAATAGATGGTCTTCAAGTTGAATAAAGTCCCAAGGAAAGAGCTTGGGGGGGGGGGGCGGGCTCTCCTTCGGCTCTTTGGGCTCTGTGCTGAGCAAACAGCTTCACAACTCATAGAGGGCTGAGAACCAGAGCAAACTCTGCTATATAAAACCCAGTGTGGAGAGGCACTGACACCCTTTGAAGAAAAACTAGAGTGGAAGGCTCAAGCAAAGAAGCAGTTGTGATTAGGCTACTGATGTTTAGCAAGACACCCCACTAAGATCACTTTCTCTATATCCCCCTTGAGCATCTGGAACACCCAGGTGCAGGGGATATACAGAGATGGTAACATGCACTTCTCGTCCTACAGGGAAGCACAGGTGCAAAGCTAAATTTTAACAAACCAGGCTGCTGCTTTAATGGAGGGATGTTCCAAGCGCTACAGAAGCACAGGAGAAGGAACTGTGACCTAAGTCGGCCTGGGGGTAGCCCTTGGTCAGGGAATGAGAAATTTGTAGCAGGAAGGTTCAGCAGTCCTTCAGTTTGGGGAGAGGTAGGAGTTTAGCAATATTCCATGCTATCGAAACAATCTGTCTTCACAGTTAACTACTCTGCAATCTTCATCAACATTAACCAGATAATTCCTTCTTCACTTCTTTGACTCATTCTCTTAATGGCTCACTCATTTAATTTGTAAATGTGATCTTAAAATCACTGTCCCACCTAAATGTCCATAAACAGGACACTAGTTACATGAATACACTATGAATTACCATGGAATAATTTAAAAAGACAAGGTAGATGTCTATGGACAGATACAGAGATATTATCACCTACTTTTGAATCCACAGCCATCCATGGACAGAATTATATTTAACAGCACTGTCTGTCACGGAGTCTAGGCAACTGGGTGAATTATGGCAGGGGAGTGGCAGAGGGTTGTGGGGGGGAGGCCATTAAGTTGAAAAGACCCCAGAGGGGAAAGCTGGGAGCCTCTACTTTGTGACAAGAGCAAAGAATACAGCTGTTTATAGAATAATCCCTTTTGTGTAAACAAGAAAGGATATGCATACATTCATTAATATACACATCCTTCTTTTTCTTAAAATGAACACAGTTAACTGTCAGATTCTTCTGAGGAGAGGAGCTGGATTGAAGGGATGAGAGAAGGTTCTTACATTTTATTACATACCCTTTTGCATTTTGAATTTTTTTAAACTACATGCATATTTTACCCTTTTTTGAAAAAACAGGGATTATCTGAGCAATGAGACTGTGTGCCATATACTTTCTTCTTTATAAACATTTTGTATTAAAAAGCACCACTCAATAAATATGATTTGAAAAATAATACTCTTCCTTTCTGTAGATGGGTATATACAGACAGATGTTTAAAGATTTGTGTAAGGCTCCACAATGTATCCTCATTATAATGACAGAAAAGCCATCAACTTTCTGGGTTTTTACTTAGAATCCTGAGTATAAACTTTCAACAATAACATGGTCACGAAGGTCTGCTAATCAAGATTCAACTGTGTGTTTGTTCTAAAGACATCATAAGCATTCCCAGACAATACACACATGGATGACAAAAGGGCAAATTGCAGTGAACTCAAGTCATTCTGGGCTTGCTCTCAGCACTAATTCTAAAAGGCTCCCTAAGTTAAAGGTTTCTTTGCTGCGGAGAAACACTGTAGGGCTGTTCTTGAACAGCGAACAGTTTAAAAACAAGTCTTTCTGCTCCTAAAATCTTACTACAAATGAGTCTCTAGGAACACTGAAAAGAAAAGCATTTTTTTTTAAAGATTTTATTTATTTATTTATTTGAGAGAGAGAGAATGAGAGCAAGCACATGAGAGGAGGAAGGGTCAGAGGGAGAAGCAGACTCCCTGCCGAGCAGGGAGCCCAATGTGGGACTCGATCCAGGGACTTAAGGATCATGACCTGAGCCGAAGGCAGTCGCTCAACCAACTGAGCCACCCAGGTGCCCAAGAAAAGCATTTTTATGCTACTCTTTTAAAGCAAATTGAGAAATAAAAATTAT